TGCAGCATGAGGAAGGTTGAGAACCACTGCTGTAGAGGGTTTCCAAGGCTGTTAAACTTTATGGGAACAGATAGCCTCATCATTCTCCTAAGTAGCAGCTGGTGGATTTGAACTGCTGGCCTTCCGGTTAGCAGCTTAATGGTTACCCATAAGAACCTTACAAACCTGTCCCAACTGACCTACAGTACACATTCAACTTCAAGACACACTTAGGAATAGTTTCCGTTTATCGTGCAATTGACTACTTATGATTTGATTTCTGTAAAGTATTTACTTCTCCCACCTACCATATATTCAACAAATATACAAACCTTTGGTTTTGTACTTTTTCTTAATTCTAAGAGTCCCAATACATTTATCATATCATGCTCAGCATTCAGGTACCTATTTAAATTAATTTAATTCAATTTACGCAATTTTTGCCATCCAGGCAAAACAGTAAAATTTTATTTTAATGCACTGTTCAGATGGCCCTGGCATGACTTTGTCACAGATACAAACATGTGTATACTTCATCCCTAGGAGTTTATCACCCTCGAACGTGGGGCTACGACAGAAATACAAACTGAATAACCTCATATGCAAACCTATATGGACACAAATAAAAGGCCAATAAGTTGCCGTATGGTTGAAAGGACCAACATACCAGAGTGGACTTCCGGTGTGGGAGAAGACTCTGGCTCCAGGTGTTCCAGTGGGAAGTGGAGAAGCGCACTTGGTGGGTCCCCTGGCGGGGCAAAGATTACAAGATAAGAGCTCTCCCCAGGAAAGTCACTGTGGAGCCCTGTTGCTGTGTGTGTCTGACAGTGATGCTGTCACCCATCCTTTTGGAGATATGAAGTCATGGGAAAGCCTACGGGAACCCAGAGGTGAAGTGTAGAAATTGGGAACCTGGCATGTATGGGTGCAAATCTGTCTAGGAAACATAAGAAGTTTGCTTCTTTAAGCAGATCTGCTGAGTGTAAGAAATTTGTTTTTCATGGTCATCCAAGGGCTAATTTGCTTTTCATCTTTTTAAGGACTTTAAATCAGGCTATGATTTACTGACAACTGGTATCCAGTTAAGGAGCACTGGTGGCACTGGGGCTCAGCCATTGAGTTGCTAGCCTCAAAATGAGTGGTTCAAACCCAACAATTGTTCCCCAGGAGAAAGATGAGGCTGTCTGCTCCCATAGCCCTTGATAGAGTCGCCATGAGTGGAATCAGCTCAATCGCAGTGGGTCGGGTTTGGTCAGGTTTTCGGGGAGGTAGACCCTGAACAAGAATGAGAGGCAAAGATTTTTATCAGGGGAAGGTGCATAATAAGTACGGAAGTTAAAAGGGATCATTTTCAGAGTTGGGTGCTAATCTGTGAAAGGCACTGGGGCAGGAAGCGGGATTGAGTAGGATGACAGTCTCTGGGAATCTGCAGAGAGCACAGAGCCAGCCTTGCCTGGCACAGGAGGAAGATAAGATCAAAACGATGCTGTTGGGTGCCTACTCCAATATGATGTATGACCACCCGACAGGTAGCATCTTCCAGGGGAAATAGACTCTCATTACAGTTATGGGGTTAGGACTTCACATACCTTTTGGGGGACACACATTGATCTGCACCAGACAGAAATGACCAGATAGAATCACTGTCTCAATTAGTCCTTGGGCAGAGTTGCCTGGCAAAGTGTAGCGTCTTGGGTCACATGTTCTGGTGGATTCCCAGTGTTACTGGGAGGAGGCTCAGAATTTCAAGCCTCTCCACTCTGGTTCGTGTTCCGCTCCAAGAAAGATTTAAGGTGAGGGAGAAAATTCAGATAAGAGTCAGAGAAAAGGTTTGAACAGAAAGGGTGAGTTTATTGAGGGGATACTTTGCAAAAGAAGGGCAGAGGGTCCTTAACTAGTCTAAAAGGCTTAGCAAAATTTAGAACCGAAGCTTCTGTTCTTCTAATGGCAGACCTCCCACCATAGGCTGGATTTCTGGTGGGTCTTCTGCTATTGGCTGGTCCTTTGTAATGTCCCTCCTCTTCTCAGGTCACTCCAGACCTGTGTCCTTGTCTCAGACCCCAAATCCAAGAATTTCTTCAGTCATTGTGTGTGTGTGTATGTGAATATCTTTCCTTTCTCCACCCACCCATCACTATCTCTAGTCCCTTCCTTGATAAAGTAATGTGTCTTAGCTGACCTTCATGAAAGCATTAGGTCAAATTAATTTATTGCGGGGTAGGGGAGTGAGGGATATTCTAAGCCTTTTAGTATCTGGAACAGTGAGCGTGTGTTGAGTAACTTGCATTATTTCTAAGTCACGTTATTTGGGTATGTCACAGCTTCCCTGCCTGTGTCACACACCTGAGAAAAGTAAGACTGAACTGAGTCTGAGGTGGAACAGGAAGAGGCGGTGTAGTACAAGAAAGACTGGGATCAGGGGCCCAGGCCCAAAGTGAAAGGAAACCAATGGGCTGCCCCTGACGGTGTGTGCAGAAAAGAGATGGGTGTACCTTCAGAAAAGTTGCATGAACAAAAAGTCATTTTAAATGCATTAGGATACTAGTTGCTTAAATTATTCCTACAGCAAACAACTGTCCCTATTAGAGCTTATTCTATATTTTGAGATTTTATGATGAGCTTGTCTAAAACCAAGCACATTAGACATATTTATACTTTAAAAAGTAAAAATATTTCCTTTATTTTTCAATTTCAGAGGGAAAATAAGACCATGAAAAGAAATGAACTGAGACCAAGTATTATTCTAGATTAGAGGTTGGCAAGCTTTTTCTGTAAATGCCCAGATAGTAAGTATTTGAGGCATTTGAGTTCTGTGGGCTGCATAAGGATTTCTCTTGCATATTTGTTACTTTTTAAAAGACTTCTATAAAAATGGGAAAGCCATTCTTCGCTCAAGGGCAAAATAACCAAACCAAAACCAGGCCCTAAACTATTGCCTTTGCTATCCACTGAGCTCTGCTTAAACTTTTGTTTTATGTAAAATTTCAGAAGTGGACAGAACCCCAAATTCTACCTTGTATTTTTAAAAGAGAATTATGTCCGACTGGGCTAGGTTTGAATCCTTTTCCTATACTGAACTGCATCCGTGACTTGGGCAAGGTCTTTTAAAACAAATTGCCTGCTTAGCTTCCCCGTAGGTGACATGAGACCCAGGCCGCCTCTGGCTGGGGGCTTGCCTAGGCTGAATGAGATGATCTGGGAGGCTCTCTTTGCCCAGTTCACTGTCACACGGTGGCCCTCAGCCCATCTTCAGCCCTTTGCCGTCTTCTCTATCTCGATGGGCATTTCCACCCCTTTTTGAGTTCTCGCAGAACCTCAGGCTTTCTGTCACTACGGAGTTACTATAATAGGTACTCTCATGGTGACTTATTCGGAACCAACCTGATTGGTTCAGATGATTGCCTTTGTTTCCTTTCACAGTCAATCTCTACCTCCAGAGGCAGCCACGCTGAGATTTATTCCATATATGGTTTTTTTTTTGAGTCTTTTGTATTCAATTTATTTTTTTATAATTGGGGGCATAGCGAATATATCTATATATGGTGTCTTGCTTTTTCTTAGTTAACATTATAACAATTTTCCACATCATTAGAATCTCTTTGCAAATATGATTTTTACTTTTAGTTATAAGGTCATCTTCAGGGCAGTGAGTGAGTGACCAGTACAATTGTTGGACCACAGGTTTTTCATTTTTTCACTATTCTATCACAAAGGATTTATAAAAATCTTTGTATATTAAAAAAAAATCTTCCCTGTATTTCAAATAATTTTCTTTTTTATTATTAAATAATCATTTCATTAGGGGCTCCATATATGTTTTGAAGAGATATTTATATACCTTCAAATTTATATTTTAAAAACATATTAATAGATGCTAATGCTAAATCTGTAATGAGAACTTCAGGGAAGTTTTCCTGTGTCCCATGTAAGTGATAAGGATATAGATATTTTCAACCATATGCCAAATGAAAACAGCCACACAAACAATTTCTGATTTGTTCAAATTATTGGCTTAATTTCCTTTTATGGCGAATCTTTGCCTCTAGAGGCAGGCACTCTGAGATACCTTGTAAGCACGAAGCAAAGTCGTGAAACATTGCCAGAATCCCCACATTTGAGAGACATTCATGTGAAACAGCACTTCCTCATAGTTACAACTGCTTTCTTTCGGGGAGTGGGACTGGGGAAGAGGCATAGCGATGTATTTTTTTTGTTAGGGGAGGGGGGATTAAGATTTTCTGACTACATGCCCAAACAAGTTTCTAAGCAGAGCAGGTCTCCAGTTCATGTTCATGGTCTCTGCAAAATGACCCCTCCCCCCATTCTCTCTCTCTTGCTCTCTCCAAAAGTGATCAGAGAAAAATCCACTTGAATCGCCTTCTGGATGTTAACAATCTGTATTCTATTTGGAGACCCTGCTTGCTTATACAAAGATAACCGTGAGGATATGGACTAGTGTGGAAGGCCAGAAGTCCGCACTGATGGTCCACTCTTAAATAAAGACAGCACAAGGGTGTCTTTTTGTTTTCTTAAAGACTCATTGTTTTGACTGTCTCCTCGCTGTTTTTATTTTCTGCTAACGGAAACTCCTCTAACACCGGGCTTACGTTCCCGCATGTTTGCACTCCTCTTACCTCCCTGCCTGAGAGCATTTCCTGTCCCTGGGAGGAGCTGCAAGGAAAGACAGAGTGACATGGAAAGACAGCCTCCTCCAAAGCTGTAGGAATATAAGTAAAAAGCCATATTGTGATTGATGGTGTCTGGGTGCCCACCTGGAGGGAACAGGACTTAAGAGCAAAATAAAAAGGCTGAAGATGGAAGTCACCCCAGGAACAAGCTCTTCCTGTGTCGCAGGAAGGGTGTGAGCCCCCAGTTGGATATGCTTTGTCCTGAGGTACCAGTGGGTTTAATAAAATGGAGATGGGGGCTGTCCATAACCTAACATTTCTTAAGACTTTGTCATGAAGGGCATCTTTTCAGAGGACGAAAGCATGATCTGCGTGCCCGTTCTTGTCTTCCAGGTTTATCTGGCAGATTACGGACTTTCCTACAGATACTGCCCCAACGGGAACCACAAACAGTATCGGGAAAATCCTAGGAATGGCCATAGTGGGACGGTGGAGTTCACCAGCTTGGATGCCCACAAGGGAGTAGGTGGGTTTCTTTTTCCTCATTTTTATTTCCGCGGAATGACAGACGAGAGGAGTCAGACTGCTTGAAGTGGCCTTTGGAGACAGTGAGGATTTTTATCCAAAGCAGCGAATTCCCATCCGGCCACTGGTCCTTCCTTCTCCCTGTGGAGGGAGATGCAGGCTGTGAGAAGGGAGAAGGAAGCAGAATGGTGCAGTGCTAGCAAAACCGCTGTTTGTTCTCTCTGGCCATAGTGCGTGTACCAGATGTGGTGAAGGCTCCCATGGGAAGCCCTGTGCTGTGCATTCTCACCGTGCCCCTCTTGGGGCATGGGAAGATACCATCTCTCAACAATAAGAAGATCTTTTCTGAAACCATAAAGTGTTAACTGGTGGAAATCTCTCCTAGTCGCCTTTCATATATCTTACTTATTTAAACTCACTTTGATGGTATTGGAAACACATTTGCAGGTAAATTACATACATAGTCCTTTTATTGGATATTGATTATACTGCCTTGCATTCCAAGGCAGACTTAATTCAACAATTCCCTAATTAGTTAAAGTCATAACCTATGTCTTGTATTCATTTACCATTAATTAAACCTTCGCTGTTTATTACACTGCAGTCCAAATCCAATAGCCGACCCAGAGAGCCGTGGAAAAGGGAGGAGGTAGGAGGAGGTCAATATTGGAAATATATGGTGCAGAGTCCCACCGACGGTTGCTCTGTTCACAATCAATACGGTCAATGCAACTGTACTTTCTTAGTTGCTCTGTCAGCAAGACAAAAAGTCAATTCTAATGTTATGCTAGTAAAGAGAGAAAAAAAAACAAAACAACGGTGATTATTGAAAAACTTCAGCTTTCAAAACTATATTCTTTGTAAACTTTGTTTATGAAACTAGTTTTACATGTGGTAGACCAAAGGAAGGATTGTGAAGCCGCTTTGAAAAGACTACATTTTCACTCACAGGCAATTCGACATGGCACTTGTTAATGGCTGCTGCACTGTTGTTACCTACACTCATACTTTCTAACAAGTTTTGGCGCCAACAACTGTATATGGTTGCCTTTTTCTATTAAAAGGACCATTGGCCATGTAATGTAGAGGGTCTTGATCATGTTCCAGATCAGTTAAAGCCCCCACTGGTTTAAGGGGGAGTTCTGGGGGTGCAGTGGCACACACTTGCCAGCAAACCCCAAAGCGGCCTGCTCCCCAGCAGCTGCTCTGCGGGAGAGAGGTGTGGCGGTCCGCTCCCCTCAAGATTGGCAGCCTGGGAAACAAAGAACTGGACAGCAGTGAGTGCTTTGCTGGGTCTGTCAGGAAGAGTGACAGGCTGAATTCTCTCAGGTAGAAACTAGCGTTCATACCCTTGATTCATGTGAGAGAAATTACTACACTTCCCCCGTACCTTTAATTCAGTTAGAAAAAAGAAAATTGGTAATATTATATAATTCTGAAATTTAGTAAGATCAAATTTACTATTTACATCGTTAATAAATTTTATCAATGAGCATTTAAAAGTAGAAATAGGATATTCCATTTATTAAATTAAAAATAGAATTCTTAAATACTCATTGATAGTGTTTGGGGTTTTTTGCTTTCAGTTTGTTCTTCGTGTCTCAGTGAATTTAATTCTTCACCTTTGCCAGATTTATTTGTACAGTGCAGTTTTCAGGAAGATGAGTGCTTTTTGACAGTGGTATAAAAGGAAATACATCACAGAGATGCTTAAGGTTTAGGTTGGTTGCATTAATAACAAAACTCATTTATTGTTAGACCAGTTAATTCCACTCGATAGCTCTAACGCTGGCTGACCCGGTGTGTTAGACAGGGTTCTCTAGAGAGATAAAATCAAATTCTTGATAATATAATATATTTATTTATAAAGGTAATTAATATATAACAAAAAATGAAATGATAAATCATAAAGATAATTAGATATATAATGAGAAATGAAATGTTAAATCATATACAGATAAATATACAATCTTAAATCATATACACATAAATATACAATCATATACAGATAAATACACAAGAAATAAACATTTAAATTAGAAGCACTATAAACGGCTTAGTGCAACTCACGTCCGTGAGAGAAAGTTGAGAGACTAGCAGTCCTTCCAGTCTCTATCTGATGCCAGATCTTCCTGTATTTGTAGAGAGCTAGGTTATGTCAGCACAGCAGCCAATCACAAGGCAGGTCACCAATTGCCAGTTCCCAGCTCCAGAGAAGTCTTAAAGGGACCTCAACTTACAGCAACACAGTCCACAGGCTAGGCGTCCCACAGGCTCTGTAGCCTTTAAATTAAAGCACAGAACAAGCAAGGCAGCCGCACACTGGTCCGATGATCACAGAGCGAGAGACAAGAAAGGCAAGGCTCACCAAGCCATCCATCTCTCCGCCCCTCAGTCAATCCCACCTGCGTTTATCAGCCAGGCTGGCACAATAAACTGTCTCACCCGGTATGCATTTTGCTATTAAAATAGCCAAACAACAAGACAGTGGATCATGGTGGGGCGGGGTGGAGGTGGAGGTGTTACCGAATGACCTCTTCTGGGACTGGACACTGGCAGTCCAGACGTCCTCTTCCATTACTCTCCGTGGAGAGCTTTTCTTTTCTCGGGGCTGTCATTCGGAAAGAGTGGCGCAAACCTCCACTTGGTAGTTTATTTAATTTCCTACCCTTGTAAGTGAGGGGGCTTCTAAAAGTTCATGAGCAGAAATCCCTTCATCTTTGGATTCCATTTGTCCATGATTTTTTTGAAGCTCCCTAGTAATAATGCATGTCAGTAAGCTGGGTGGCTTTCATCAAGCCAAGCCAAGGGGAGAAAACAGAATTGAGATTCCTTATGGAAAGATGATTCGAGAACTGTCCAAGAAAGCCTACAGTAAGAGCTTTTGAAATTTGCTGAACAATTGTATGATGGAGTGAATATTAATTTTTTTTTTTTAGTTTGCACATCAGATTCCTATAAAACAACATATTCCTTTAAAGCATTTAAAATAAGCAGAGCACCAAACTTCTAGGAATATATATACACACATACGTATATATATATATATACACATTCACATTTCGCAAATATGAGAGCACGTGAAAAAAGTGTTCCCTGTAGATTTCAGTTCACATGTGCACAGACATGGTCCCAACAAAATGTGTTTACATATTTTACACATGCCTCTTCAGTCGGTGGGTAGCTGCAGACAGTCTCTCTCAGTCATATGCTCATCTCAGTCTCAGTCGGCTGCCTTCAGAAAGGGATACTTTGGTGCAATGCGGGGGCTGGGGGACAACCAACAAATGAATTTGAGGTCAGGGCTGAGATAGAAATTTACACAAAATTCAAGCGGACACCCTTCCAGATCACGGAAGCTTATCCACAAATCGGTGAGAGTGAAACACCAGTGTTAGGTAGATCGGTGCTTTAAAGGAGGCCAGGCAAACCTCATACCTGAGCCAAGAGTGGGAAGACCGTTGGTCTCTGTGAATGAAGCAATGCCGAAGACCAGCCACCGGTCAGAGAAAACTGGGTGTTCTTGCGGCAGCCCTCAAGCCGAGATCCCACGGAGCTTGGCATTCTCAATTTCTGGCGAGTTCTTGGACCCAAAAAGCTCAGTGCCACAGGTGCCCAAAATGTTGTGCGTAAATCAGCTGGCTTCTCAGTCTTTTGAGCACTACTGAGCTGATGAAGGTGAATTCGAGGAACAAAGAGTGCTGGGGGGTGTTGTAGATGTGCCAGCATGTTCCAGAGTGCAAGGTCCAATCCCACCAGTAGCTTCCAAGAGGACCTCCCGTACCAGTTACATTCCGTGAGTGTACAGCTCAGAAGATGATGGCAGTTGCTCTGGGGATTAAAACGGCTGGTTTGGGTCGATTTCCTTGAAGGACTCAGGACAACAGCAGGGCCTCTTGAAGAAGCCTCAGACAAGCTGAAAATGGGATTGGTGAGTAAAAGGCCATGGAGTTGTGCAGAGCACCATTTCCCTCCCTGCTCCGAGGGTAGCAGGGCTGTTGTAGGAGAGTTTCCTGTGGAAACCTTACTCCAGCCACCCTGCAGCCCTAATCTTGGCCCCTCAGACTTATCTTCGTTCCCAAACTCAAAGAATAAAAGAACCTAATTTGGGTCGCTCAATGATGCCAAAACCGAATTCTTTCGCAGAATTCTTTGGGCAAAGATTGTTGTTGGCGATTGGGCCAACAGCAGCCCAAAGTGACCCTGGACACAGACAGCCCTGCCCCGTCCTCACAATTGTTCTGTGCTGAGCCCATCAGTGCAGCCACCGTGTCCATCTCATCAGAGGCCTCCTCTTTTTCTTGGCCCTTCCACTGTACCAAACACGATGCCCTTCTCCAGGGATTGGCGTCTCCTGACAACATGTGCAAAGCGTGTGAGACGAAGGAGGACTCTGGCCTACCTTCTTCCAACACATCAGTCTTAGCAATCCATCATCCATTCTTCTTTGGTCTTCCGTATTCAATGTCCAACATTCACATGCTTATGAAGCGATGGAGAAAACCATGCTTGGCCACACGCATCTTTGTCTCCAGAGTAATATCCTTGCTCTTCAGCACTCTAAGGAGGTCTCGTGCAGATCTACCTAATGCAATCTGTCTCTTGACTGCTGGGCACTGAGTGTGGCTCCCAGACAAAACCCTTGACAACTTTAACCTTTCTCCATTTATCCTGATGCTCCGGTGGGTCCAGCTGTGAGGATTTGGGGCTTCCTTTCATGGAGTCGTGATGCACACCGAGGCTGCAGTCTTTGATCTTCCTCAGCCAGTGCTGCAAGTCTGCCTCACTTGCAGCAAGCAAGGTTGCGTCAGCTGCATCTAGCAGACTATTAATTAGCCTTCCTCCCATCCTGATCCCACACTCTTCTTCATACGATCCAGGTTCTCTGACAACTTTCTCAGCATCCAGATGAACAAGTATGGTGAAAGGGCGCAACGCCGATGCACACCTCTCATGATTCCTGGTCAGTCGAGGGTTGGAGGGATGGAAACACCACCTTCA